GGGGGAGGGGGGGGAGAGAGAAGGAGAGGGAGTCGATTTTTGAATGGAAACTCAAAAAAAATCTTAAGAATGGCCATACTGGATCAGACCAAAGGTCTATCTAGTCCAGTATCCTGTCTTCCAGCAGTGGCCAATACCAGGTGCCCCTGAGGGAGGGAACACAACAGTAAACCTCACATGATCCCTCTCCTGTCATCCATTTCCATCCTCTGACAAACAGAGGCTTGGGACACCATTCCTTCCTATCCTGGCTAATTATTGATAGACCTTCATTGAAATCAGACATTTTCAATAGACTTCTCTATGGAAAAAGAGACACGTTCTAGGCTTAGCTTCCTCCTGGAAGAATAATTTCACCATGCAACTGACACTGGAAGCACTCCAAGTCTTAGACCACCTAGAAGGCTACAGCTCCTATTTTTTAGCTAACTCATTCTTTAAAAAAATGTTTCGTTTTCTCTTACTACTGGAAACACCAACCCTTATTTAAAACACACATATAGTAATTTCTATTAAGGTTGTCAAGGGATTAGTCATTACTGTGTTAATTAATTTTAAAGAAGATCTCATCTAACTGTATCATTAGAGTAGCTAAAGCAGAATTAAATGATGCTGAACTGATATAAAATGTTTGAGCAACAGCAGATAGGGCTTTTTTGTTTGTATGTTTTTTAGTTAATTTAGTGCTGGTGAAGATTCCTGAATTGTGACCTGTCTTGGCATCTGGAGTAGTTGTGGTTATTATTTATGTTACCATAACATCCCTGGAGAGCTTGTTGTGGTGCGGAGGGTCATTGTGCCAAATGCTGTACAAACTCAGAACAAAAAGGTGATACCTTCACTCCGTCCTTGTCAACAGTATAACGTAAACTTCGCCACCAGCCTGCCTCAGTCCCAGGTTGGAAAGCCTGTAACATTATTTCACACACAGGAGCCAGCATTCAGATGATGCTAACTGCTTTCAACTAATCCCGTAGTCAGAAGGTTTTGAACTGGCAACTTAGAAATGAAAGTTTCCC